TCTCTTGATAAGTAGGGAGAGGTATAAGAATGAATCGGAATATCGGATAAAAGCAAGTAAATGAAGTATAACAAACTCATCAGAGTTTCATAACTTTGCACATTTAAGGTATAGTTCATATTACTTTTGCTTTATTAAAACAAAAAGTAAACAAATCAATATCAATTTCACAAAATCAGTCAATACAAAATAACTACTACGGCTGTTAATTCAATAAAATTGAACAGACGATTTTCAGCATAAACATATGATGTAATAAATTTGGTAATAATCTGGATGATCAAATTAAAATTAAAAGAGGGAGCGCCCTTGCATAAGCATGGGATGAACTTTTTTAAAATCAAACCCTATTTGTTACATACATAAATGTTAAAAAAGAGAAATGGTCCTTCTCTTTTGAAAGTTGAGACTAGACTCAAACACTAAACCCTATCTCTCCTAACAACCACAAGACTAGCCAAGTGATTTAGCTAAGAGAGGAGCATTCAACCTAGATAAGTGCTACCCAAAACCTCATGACACTTTCACCAGCAAGAGCATATAATAAGAAAATGTTCAGATGGCCAGCAGGTACAACTCAATGGCCAACTGATTATAACCTAATATTTGGCACAAAGACCAACCTCCCTTAGGCCTTAGCAATTACTACTCTCAGGAAGTAGAATTTCCTATACTGGACAGGGTTACAGAGTCCAAACGGCCATTCGAACAAAATTTTCTGTTCCAAATAATATTCATCCAAACACACTTCTCAAATTAAGCACATTGATGGCAAATTTGTACTTCAAAGCATGCAATCATTCACAAATCTTATAAAGCAAACCCAGGCAATACAAACTACTCACTCATGTTCATGTCAAGCAAACAGTTAATGATCCAAATTTGACCAAACAACATTTTCTAACAATACTTTTTTAGATTCAGATCCCAAAACACCCAAATATGGCAGAAACGAACACACTACAACACCGAAGAACAACACCGAACCAAACGCAAACCAAACTGAAATTCTCGAAATAATCTCTGATTTCGAACAATAAACTGTTAGACTTCTCTCTTTTGCAACGACGTCAGCAGCCACAGGCGCATGTCAGGCGCATGTCAGACTTCTCTTTTCTCCAAATTTTCCTGTTTCTAGCTAGTGTCTAAGCTTCCTCTTGCTTCAGCCAGAGTTCGGCTTGAGGGAGGATGTTAGACAATATACTAATATTACTCCTGGTAGTATTGGCTATGATACTGTTTGATTATTAGTCAGCTTCCTATTTCTATTTGTAGTAGATGTTATATTTTAGTTAGTCTTCATTCTCTATTCGTAGTTGTGTTAGGAGTCTCTTCTATATATACTCTATCATGTACTTTATAATTCAAGGAGAGCAATATTATTATTCCAATATTTCAACATGGTATCAGAGTCACCGCTCCAGGTGACCTAAAACTCTCTGCGCTCGCTTCTGGCGGGCGCCGCCCGCCGGACCGATGTTATTCTTTCTTCAATTTCAACATGGTATCTGAGCCATCGCTCTTGGTGACCTAAAAGAGTTCTTTGCTTCCGCCGCTGCCGCCGGTAATTCTGGCGACGGCGGCTCCACCTTACTCACCTGTATTTTCTTTTCCTTCTTTTGTCCTCAAATCAACTTCTCCGTTCAAATGGAAAAAAAGAAAAGCAAAAAACCCCTGTGTAAATCACACACAAAAAAGACCATTAAAGGAGGAACTTCTCTCTTGTCATCTTCATGGTTCTTCAAAAAAACCAACTCCTCACAAACTCCCTCCACTCATCCTTGTATCTTCTCAAAATCATGAAAAAAATGATATTTGTTTCTCTACAATTCACTATCGAAGATTCTCAGACCTAGTTCTTTTCTTCATCAACAATTCTTAATCCCCCTTTTCCTCTTGCAAATAACCCATTGTAAACATTAATCTTTCTTCTCTTTCTCCTTTGTTAACCAATAAAATTCCAAAAAAAACACAAAAGCCAAGCCAAGAGGGGAAATAATGAAAGAGGAAAGAATACCTCTACACCCTTCAAGAAAGAAATAGGGCATTGCCCGGATCAAAGAAAAAGACAAAGAATGTCAAAGATCTTCAATCAAACAGGCACCTCCAGTAGCCTTCTCTATTCTTCTTCGACGTCAGTAGCTACAAGCGCACGTCAACATTCTCTCTTCTTCTTCGACGTCAGCGGCTACCAGCGCACGTCAATTTCTCTCTTCTTCAACGATGTCTACAGCTATCAGTGCATGTTAGACTTCTCTCTTTTCCAACGACATCAGCAGCCAGCGGCGCACGTCAGGCTTCTCTCTTCTTCAACATGGTATCAGAGCCACCGCTCCAGGTGACCTAAAACTCTCTGCGCTCGCTTCTGGCGGGCGGCGCCGCCATTAGCCGCCCGCCGGACCGATGTTATTCTTTCTTCAATTTTAAAGATTGGCAACTCCTCAAAAACTTTCTCAACCCATCCCTTTTTTTTCCTCTCAAATCACTCATTCTAATCATCAATCTTTCTTCTCTTTCTCTTTTGTTACCCAACAAATTCTAAAAAAAACAACACAAAAGCAAAGCCAAGAGGGAAAATAGTGAAAGAGGAAAGAATACCTCTACACCCCTTCAAGAAAGAAATAGGACATTGTCCGGATCCAAGAAAAAAGACAAAGAATGTCAAGGATCTTCAGTCAAACAGGCACCTCCAGTAGCCTTATCTATTCTTCTTCGACGTCAGCAGCTACAAGCGCACGTCAACCTTCTCTCTTCTTCTTCGACGTCAGCAGCTACCAGCCCATGTCAATGTTCTTTCTTCTTCATCGACATCACCAGCTACCAGCGCACGTCAATTTCTCTCTTCTCCAACGACGTTAGCAGCTACCAGTGCACGTCATACTTCTCTCTTCTCCAATGACGTCAGCAGCCACCGGCGCACGTCAGACTTGTCTCTTCTCCAACGACGTGAGCAGCCACCAGCATACGTCAGACTTCTCTCTTCTCAAAGTTTCCAGTTTCCAGCTAGTGTCCAAGCTTCCTTTTGCTTCAGCCAGAGTTCAGCTTGAGGGGGGATGTTAGACAATAATACTAATATTACTTCTGGTAGTATTGGTTATGGTAGTGTTTCATTATTAGTTAGCTTCCTAATCCTATTTGTGTTAGTTTTTTGTATGTTAGTTAGCTTCTACAAGCGCACGTCAACATTCTCTCTTCTTCTTCGACGTCAGCGGCTACCAGCGCACGTCAATTTCTCTCTTCTTCAACGATGTCTACAACTATCAGTGCATGTTAGACTTCTCTCTTTTGCAACGACGTCAGCAGCCACAGGCGCATGTCAGACTTCTCTTTTCTCCAAATTTTCCTGTTTCTAGCTAGTGTCTAAGCTTCCTCTTGCTTCAGCCAGAGTTCGGCTTGAGGGAGGATGTTAGACAATATACTAATATTACTCCTGGTAGTATTGGCTATGATACTGTTTGATTATTAGTCAGCTTCCTATTTCTATTTGAAGTAGATGTTATATTTTAGTTAGTCTTCATTCTCTATTCCTATTTGGTGCGATTCGCCAATGAATAGCTAGCCCTACCCGTGCTCCTTCCGATGGTGGTGTGCGTGCGTTGAGACTCGCCCGCAAACACCGGCTATGGTGGCGTCACCGGCGAGAAACCCTCGTTGCGCGCGCTCTCTCTCCCGCTTCTCTCTTTGTTTCACGCTAAAAAATTATACAGAGATGTGGTCATATAATGTGTTTTAATTAAAAAAAATGTCTAAAAAGTACTTGTTATTATGAAATTAACGATTGTTCATTTATTCAATTAATCAGGCCTATTTTCTAGAATAGTAGATTAAGACAACCATTGATGAGTATCAATTATGTACAGTACTTCCCACTTGTATTTGTATTCATACCAAGCCTCTCCACGATAAATAGAGGCCTAATCCTTGCATTGTAATTACCATTAAGAATAAGAAGAAGAGTGAGAAATTAATAGAGGGAAGAAATCAGAAATATATTACTATATATTCTCATAATCTCTGAATAGTTTTTCTCTTATTTTATAACACGTTATCAGCACGAGTTTGCTCAAAATCTCAGAAACCTTGTTCTTCTCAGAAGGTATATTTATTTTATTTTCTTCATAAACAAACTAAAATATTTTCTTAAAAACTATGAGAAGTATGCTCTGTGATTGCCCAAAGTTGGGATTCTTCACATCAGAAACTTATAGTTATAAAAAAATAAAATTAGACAAATTAAAAAGGAATAATTTTCCTCATAATATCAGAAAATCATGTTTTTGATAAATTAAAACATAAGATGTAAAATAAAAGGATTATCATAGCTAAGAGACACAACTCAAATAGTAGTTCTACTATATCATCATATATTCCGTATGAAATATGCAATAGAATTTTTTTTATAAGGAGTACTACTGAACACTATGGTGAGTTGGTGACTTGGTGTCCATGTGATTAAGTTTTGTTTTTTTCCTTTTATTCGTATTACTAAAGAATCAATTTTTTTTAACAATTGTATTATTTCTGTCCCTTGATTCCTTTGATTGAATATGCATCACCATCAATTATTTAAAATAAATAAATAAATAAATAAATAAAAGGGTAGGATATGGACAGAGATGTTTGGGGTAGCATGGGAATCATTTGTATTCGTTTATTTCTTTTTAATATGAAATCTTATCATTTTGCTATACAATTACGCACTACCTTTTATTTTTACTTTTTGCCGAAGAAAAATGAATAAATAAATTACATTACCCTAATGAAATTTAATTTATTTTGTAGTATTTCAAATGGCCAACATCACCAAAAGAGAATTTGACATTCTTGATTTATCCGGTCAAAGGTACCTGGAATGGAGAGTTGATGCACTTACTCACCTTAAGGCTAATGGCCTCGAAAATACAATTGCTGAGAATAATACATCATCATCTCAGCAAAAGGCAAAAGCCATAATTTTCCTTCGCCACCACCTTCATGAAAGTTTAAAATCTGAATATTTATTGGTGGAATATCCGAAGGAATTATGGGATAATCTCCAAGAGAGATATGGACATCAACAAAAGGTCCTACTACCAAGAGCTCAATATGAATGGATCAATTTTAGATTCCAAGATTTCAAATCTGTTTGTGACTATAATTCTTCTATTTTCAAAGTCACGTCCACATTAAAATTATGTGGACATAATATCACTGATCATGACATGTTGGAAAAAACTTTTTCCAGTATGCATATGTCAAATGTGATATTACAGCAACAATACAGAGAAAGGGGCTTTAAAAAGTATTCTGAGTTAATCTTAGTATTACTTGTTGCTGAGCAGAATAATGAGCTCTTAATGAAAAATCTAATATGTGGCCTACTGGTTGTACCCCTACAAATTTTGGCCATCCTGATCGTGGTTCAGCACCAGAATCAAATGTTATTCAAGGTGGTGCACGCGGACACTTTAAACGTGGACGCGGAAATAACCGCAACAAAGGGTCAAATAGGGGATATAAACATCCAAATGAATCATCCTCCAAAGGAAAGGGAAAATTCAAACCACCACAGGCTAAAACTCATGAAAAGCCAAAACCAAGTGGTGAATGCTATAAATGTGGCATAAAAGGACATTGGGCTAATGAATGTCGAACGGCAAAACACTTGGTAAAATTATACCAAACTTCCACAAAAGGAAAATGAAAAAATGTGGAGGCTAATTATGCTGATGATATCAATCCAATTTTGCCTAAATTTGACGTGTCCGACTTCTACATGGATGATGCTGAAATTGGTGATGAAGTGGCTTTTGGTGGAACTACTACTGTTTAAATATTTTAATTTACGCTATTATATGGTATGTTTACTTTTAAAATAAATGTTTAAAATCTGTACTTTAATTTTCATGTTTACTTGTATTATTATGTCTGTTCTAAAAATTTATAATAAAATGTATGATATTTGTGTTAATTATCTTGAACTTATATTTATTTATATATTTATTTATATTCAAGATATGGAGATAACTGCTTATGGCTCCAATGGCAAAGAACAATGTCTAATTGACAGTGCCACAACGCACACCATTTTGAGAAACAAAGAATATTTTTCTCAAATGACATTGATGGAAACTAATGCCAATACAATCTCTGGTGTTGCAAAGCTCATTGAAGGGTCTGGAATGGCTTGTTTAATCCTTCCCCAAGGAACAAAATTAATTATCAAAGACGCATTATATTCCAGCAAATCCCGAAGGAATTTATTGAGCTTTAAAGATATGCGTCAATAGGCCTGGACACGGTACCGGTGAGGTACCGTCACCGTCACCGGAGACGACCTACCGGTTCCGGGAACCGGTACAGGTACCGCCTCAACCGGTGCCGGACCGGTTATTTTTTTTTCTTCTTTTTCTTGCTCCTGCGCCCAACGGAAACCTGCAAAAGAAAAGAAAGAAAAGTCAGTGGGGGGGCGGCCTCAATCAACGGCTCTTTGAGCCGTTAGAGCCTAGGAGGGGAGGGGGGGATGGGGATTGGGGAGGGGAGGGGGAGACCTAAAAAAATTTATAAATACCCCCTTTTTTCATAAAATATCACACTCAAAATTTCAATTCTCAAATACTCAATCCATTATCCATCTCTCATTCTCTCAAATCTCAATCTATCATTCTTAATTTCTTAATTCTTATCAATCATTCTTAATTACTTATTTCTTATCTATCTTTTTTAAATATATTATATTTTAATATATAAAATTTCGAAATTATTTGAAAATTTCGAAATTTAATATATCTTTAATATCAAAAAATATATAATTTATATTTTAAATATATTCTCTATTATTTATTGAAATTTTCGAAATTTTAATATATAAAATTTTGAAATTTTTTTAATTTTTCCAAAAGTAATATATTATTTTAATATCAAAAAAATATATATTAAAATGTCGAGGGAGTCCGGTAGACGGTCTGTGGATATGGGCGACGTGAACCGAAGATTGAGTAAAGGCAAAGCTAAAGCCACCTCCGACGGTTCGACCTCACGCGGACACGGTTCTCGAGGAAGACACTCCGTCTCTTCGTTTCCTACTGTCCCAGATCATTTAATCGGGGACGCTATGACGGATGAAGAATTCAACCAGATTTATTCTGGTAGAGGGGACGCGAATCTCCCCACTCTTGATAGTCTATTCGAGGATGTTGATGAAGCAGGACTGGATAATCTTGACGGGGACGATGAGCCTACACCGCAAAGCAACGACGTCAACGTGGAGGCAGGTGAGCCCGAGACCTCTCGAGGTCCGGAAAAAGGTAAAAAAATATATATCAGATTTATTTGTTTATCATTTTGACAAAGACACAAAAGACGACATAGTTTATGGAACTTGTAAACATTGCGGGACCGTCATAAAAATGGGAGTTTCCGGCGGTTATGGCGGTCCGGAAAAACACCTAAGGTCGAGGCATCCCGTGGAGTACGCCAAATACAAGGCCAAAAAAAAGGGACGACAAGAAGTGCAAACCCAAATTTCTCGGTTTGCTAACAGAGGTAAGGGCGGCCTTTTTGCTTATAGCGACGAGCAAAATAAGCAAAAAATGGCCGAAATGATTTGTGAAGAAAATTTGCCATACATGTTTTCTGAAAAACTTGGTTTTATTGATTATTATCAACAGGCATTAAACCCTCAAGCACGAGGTTTTTCAAGAAAAACAATTAAACGAGAAATTATTCGCCAGTACAAAATGGAAAAAATTAATTTGGCAAATTTTTTCCTCAATTTTAATTCTCGTGTTGCTATTTGTTCTGATATTTGGGGTGAAATTTATCATAATTTGTCTTATATGGGTGTTACTTGTCATTGGATAGATAGTGATTGGATTATGCATAAACGTGTTCTTGCATTTCGTGATTTCAATGATCAGCATACTGCTGAATATATTTTTCTATTGCTTCAGAGTATTCTGCGGGAATATAACTTATCTGAAAAAGTTTTTTCATTTGGTTTTGATAATGCTACTAATAATACTGCTGCTATTCCTAGACTTAGAGAAATTTGCCCACCGTCTATGACTATGGGTAGATTTCTGCATCAACGATGTGCCTGTCATGTTTTAAATTTATGTGTTCAACAGGGACTACAAGCTATGGACGGAGTTTTGACAAATATTAAAGAAGGAATTAAAAAAATTTGGGGGGCTCGTCTTATTTCGAGATCCTGGAAGATGTTCTGTAAGTCTAAGGGTAAAAAAATAAGTTTTGCTAGAGATATCAACATTAGATGGAATAGTACTTACAAATTGATTGCACAGATCCTAAGATATAAAGAGGAACTTGCCGAATTTTTTAGGGATGAACTTCATATAATCATTAATCCTTTTGAATTTGTTATTGTTGAAAAATTGAATGCTGTATTAGAAGTTTTTAATAACGCAACTCTTACTTTTTCCCATGTTTACCAACCAACTACAAATACATTTTTTAAAGAGTGCATTATAATCGCAACATGTTTTCGTGAAAGTATGGCTGATCCAGATTTGTACCCTTATGTCTCTCCTATGAGAGATAAATGGTGTACTTATTATTTGTACATTCCTGATATTTATAAAATAGGTATTATTTGTGATCCACGATTTAAGATTGAAAATTTTAAAATTCTAATTGAGTATTACTACAGTTGTTTTTTAGATAAAAATAGTTATT